CGGCAGCGAAGCGATATCATACGGCGGGGCCAACGTCCTCGTCGCATTTTATACAATATTAAAATGAGCAATCTATGCGACAAATACTGCGTTATAAAACTATGCACGATTCTTGGATCCTTCAGGTAAGGGCTAAACCCTTTCCGGACAGACAAATTACATCACCATCGCAAAAGCAGACAAGCGGAGTGTATGCGTGCCCCCATGACGCTGTCGGTTTCAGATCTTTCGGCAAAGTGCGACCACGGCCAACGCTGCAGTCTGACGGAGTCAATCATACAGTGCCAAAAAGTGTATATCGTCACGTCATATAGAGTGCCTTGATACAAACACGCGATTTTGCTTGAGTGGTGACATCTGGTGACATGTCAACATTTTTAGCCCTTTTTTTAATTTTTTTAAGCATGAGATGTTTTATAACGCACAAGAATTCAGTTACTCCGCTTATTTATCGTGAAAATTGATATCAAGTGACGTGACGTCACGAGACAATCTATACACTCCAATTCAGTTTCCCCGCTAAATTTGTAGAGAAAGTGGCGCCACGTGACGTCACTTGACGTTACGTGACCCACACTCCTTGGGGAAGTTGACGGCCCGTGACCTACACATCAACTCAGTTTCCCCGATAAAATTTAGCGGGAAAATTAACGCCTTGTGGCGAAAACATCGCTTCGGTTTCCCAGCTAAATTCAGAGGGAAATTCGAGTTACGGGACCTATTCGCCAATTTTGTTACCCACTAAATTTAGCGGGAAAATTCACGTCGTGTGATCTATAAAAGACTCCATTCCAGTTCACCTGCGAAAGTTAAGGGGGGGGGGGGGGGGGAGGGGGGGGGGGGAAATCGACGTCACGCGACCTATAGGACCATTCAGTTTTGCCGCGAAATTTAGCGGGAAAACTTACCTCACGTGACACGCCAATTCTCAATAATACATTTCATGCAGGATATAAAACTTTTAAGAAAATCGCTCCTTTTTTTTTTTGTCTTTTGAAGTTTCTGAATACCGGTGTGACTCAGCTCGAGCGCGCAGCCTTGGGTAATGTTTAGGTGCCATTTTACCGCACAAGACCCACACCGAGTGCGCGAGCGCGTCACGAGCTGGCCCTCTCAGTGCAACAAAGGGTGTCTTCACCCCGAGCCAGATAGATGTGTAGGCACCCTACTCACGGCGCTTGTCATTTTTGTGAGTTTACAATACACCAGCACAGTGTTTACAAAGAAGCCCGCTTTGCCCACACCAGGTCTGGGCACTGCTCCTGCGCAGAAATCGAATTCGGGAGGAGTGAGGCGTCTGCGCATGCCCAGTACCAACAGCAGCGCCACCGCAGTGGAGTGACGCCAGTGAATTGAGTGGCTCTATATAACCGACTAAATCAATCACAAATAAATAATTGGGGTTGTTTGGATATTTATACAGCGTGCAGTTGCATGGTCAGCCATTTCAAAGTTGCGACGAGTCACTTCCTGTAGATGAGAAATTTAGCCAGTGCAGTACAACCGCTAGCCTGGGGTCTTTAACGTGCACCACGCAGTAGTGATACACGACCGCACGCCGGTACGATGCTCATCCAGATCGAAACCGGCCTGGGTGGGGTTTGAAACCAAGATCCCAGGGTTCTGCAGCGCGAGCTTTCGCTCCACGTGCTCCCAGCAGGTGTGCGCTAACCCACTCAGCTACCGATCCTCCTAAATCAATCACGCCCAGCGAATGTACCGCAAAACCGCGTTTTTCTTTTTTTCTTTTTTTCTAATGCGTGATTTGTTTAGCCGGGAAGACCAAACGCATAACGACAACGAGCATCGCGACGATACACCGTTGACGCTATCTGCTTGATGGGCTTCATCAGATGGTGACGTTAGCTCCGGTCGGACTCAACGTGAAACTAAGTAGAGAGTTCCCAGACGGTCCCTCAAGACCCTCCAGGGTATCCCGTCGATTGACAAAGGTAATTCGATGGCCAGACTGACAAAACGGCTTTCAACGGCGCGCCTAAAAGAAGCGATCCAGACGGTGGTGTTCAGACCTCCTGCCATCGCCTGAATGGATAGCATGTTCTCACGATTACGAAACAAATATTAAGTTCTCTACCAAGACTAGGGCGCCGATAGAGGGCCAACGACTCTGAGAAGGTGGTAAGGATAACTGACGGATACTTTTATGTTCGCTGTCGGCGTCCCCCGAACGGGGAGCTTGAGCGCGTGCTCACAGAAGGATCGAGTTTAGGTTGGCGAATAAGGCAACGTGTCTCTCTGCTTTTACACATCATCACCCTCGTAAATCCCGAAGCATATACTCGACACCTCCTTGATAGCGAGGTTCTTGTGCTGGGTTTTCTACGACACCTGCGGGAAGAGAGCGCGGAGCACGTATTGGATACGAGTGCTGCTCCAGTGTTGGGCAGGGACTCGGGCCCAATCAGCGAGAACACGAGCCCCGGCCGATCGCTGACGAAGCACTCGGGTCCAGTCTCTGTCGCCCGCTGACATTCAATAGGTGACGTAGCAAGCCCAGCACCATGGCCTCAGTGAGCCCCAACCAGCAGGTGCCTAGGCGATTCCGTACGTGTCGTCGACGTAAAGAGACTTCAGCGTTTACTTTCAAACGAAGTAAACCCTTCAGATTGTATATTTACGTCCTAACGATAGACCCTTTTGGTGCTCACAAACATGAACTGCCGCGTGCGTCCCCAAGCGAATTCCGGTCGCTCAGTCTTTGCAAGCCTGTTGAGCTGACGTATGGCACCGTTGCTAGAAAGCATAAATGGCACACGGAACACAAAGTTGGAAATTTAACGAGGGCCTTCGGCTGTACAGTTTCACGCCTTGGAGAAGGCAAGCTGCTTTGCAAGATTATTCGAAAACGTTTTAACAGATCTCGTGCTTCTTCGTTTTTTTTTTTTGGCGTTTATCTGGAGAATTGGTAGTTAAACATTTCATCGACATTTCAAGCACGAGTGTAAGGTAAACTTGGTTCCTTCTTTTTATGAACCAGAAGTTCTCTGGGACGTCCAAGACGGGAGCACAGCCTTGTGGCGTTTGCCATAAAAAGGGTATGTAATCCTTTCCTTGTCAATTACCCTACCATATTGTTATCCTAAGTTAGCAACGTCCGACCGGTTCAAGATACTTCATTTGTTTGTTTCGTGGTAGTGGTGATAATCAATTTACTTAGTGCTAAATTACCCAAGCATCAAGGAGAATGCTGGGGAGGTAGGTCTACGCGCCGCACGCGCTCGCTTTCCTAGTATAAAATGTTCCAAATAAATTACCAGAACGAAAGATTGACGAACGCGCGTGCAAGATGCCATTTGTTTTGGGATTTTGCTTTGTAACAGCACCTGCTGCCGATGCCAGAATGTACAGTGCATGTAACTACACTTGGGTAATCTAGGAAAAGGTATATTTATGTATACCACGAGAGGAGATATAAAAGGGACCAATAGATCGAACTCACAAAGGGTTCCACGGTTCCACGCATCTGTGAACCCGCCGTTACTGTAATTCACAAGAGGCACGTGCACGAGACAGCTCACGCCGTGTCGCGCTCTTCTTGCGCCTACCCGCAAAGAAGTTGTCGCGCGTGCAGATAGACTATAGGTGCGAATGGGTTGGGCCTTTAAATAGCTCGTATAGAAAATTGCAAGCAAGGCCAGTAGCCGCTGCCATTTTTTTTGCTCGCGCGGAGAAGCCCGTGCAATTCGAAGCTTGTCACGCCTATGTTCAAGCGCAAGCTGCACGTGCTTGCCCTCACGGGGCAACGGCCGGGCGCCATGCTTGCAATTGTCTATACGCAAAAAGCCCCAATTTCGGAAGTACTTCATACATCTACCCATGACTTTTTTTTTAACTATTGAATAATTTCAGTATCCGTTTAAAAATAAAAGAACGTTAAGTCTGCCGTTCCAGATAAATTAATATCGTAAATTCTTAAGACAAGGCCGGAGTGCTTCGTACCGGTATAAAATATTGCGACTTTGTCCTTTGTTAGTTTTTTTTATGATTAAGCCGAGACCTCCGGGAGCAATAATGCGATGTTCCTTAATCACGCTCGAGACGAAAGCGCGTAGTGTCCGAAGTGAAAAAAAAAACGCAAAACAAGCGAAGCTAGAAAATGTTTACTTACTAATATATTACCAAATGGGCTTTGCCGCAGTTTAGATTTTTTTTGTTTTTTTTTTCGCTGGAATAAACTGGCCACGTAATTGTAAGCTCAATTAATTATCTGCGCCTCCCCAAATTAAAATTGCAGCCTAATCTCAGCCTTGTTTCTGCCTCATCATTCTATAGCGGGTAAGATTAACAATGCAATATTGAAGAGAAGATTACAGGCGTTGTGTTCAATTACGAACTCGCAAACATGCTTCCCCGTAAAGTGACGTGAAAACAAAATAAAATCAAGCAAAATCTTTAAACTGAATTTGTTTTCACTGAACCAGAATCGGTCTAAATACGTCAAAATATTCGCGCTCATTTTCACGTTAAGGGCTTTCGCGTCTGTAGTGTGCAGTGCCATAGTGTGACGTGAATCATCAGAAGCTTCTGTGAAGCTTCTTCATAAGTATTGAGCTATTGTCACTCGGCAGGTCACTCGCTAATGATTCGACGTTATCCAACTCCTTATTCTTGAAACTCATTAAAAGGGCTTAATTATAATTGTCTCGACATATAAATGTTCTAATCAATCATTATCGTCGTTATCGTCAGCTGCCAGTAGCACTAGCAACCCGCAAACAATGACGCGTGCCATCAAAAAAAAAATTTACTGTCCCTCTTCTTCTAGACTCATACCAGTTCCTAATAGAAGGCACATCTCTGCAAACTTTAAATTAAAACGATGCACCGTCCCGGTGTTTTCGTAGTGCAAAGAATCGTACGTTGGCATCCTGTCAGCCACACCATAGGCCTCGGCTGAAGCACTCTTCAGCAGCCTGGAGACTTGAGGACACGAATCCGGAGTGAACGCCGAAGACGTCTTCCTCCGGACTGCCATTGACCACTGTCGTTGGACGAGTCAACGTCGCTGCAGAAAAGCTCTTGCAGGAAAGCGTACTTGCTGAGGAACTGGTCCCAGACCATGGTCCATCCAGTGATGATGAACAAAAGGAGCAGACAATAGACGCCCGCCAGGACAAGCCCGAAGGACAGGGCTTCCAGCATAGCTGGACCTCTCTGACCAACCGCTGCCTGTCCAACGTCTTCGCCTTCCTTTTTTTTTTTTTCTTCTTCTTCTTCGCCTTGCAGGATAATGCTAACAGTAATATACGAGTCTTCTGCGAAAGGACGTGGCTGCGTGTTGTCTTTCACTCGCACCTGAGCCCGTGCAAAAAAGGCGCCGAACAAAGCTACCCGCTCGTGCAGTAGCTTTGACATTGATTTAAAACGTATTTATTTAAAGGGAAGCTGAGAAGGTAATGAATATAAAAACTAGTAGTTTGAAGGAAATTCTAGCGTTTTTTTTTTGTTGTTTTTTTTTTTTTTTTTTTTTTTTGTGAATTTGAATAGCGCGAGTATTTGACACGCAGCTGTCAATAGACGCGAGAAAACCCGAAAAGCCAACCGCTGGGTCTGACGTAATACCGAGAGGTTTTAGAAGCTTTGCGCGTGCCGCTCGTGAGGGAACGGGTTCATCGCTTTTGACTGCTCGGGTTTGCGGAAAGCGCGGAAATGTTGAGATCTCTGTATCAATGCATCATGATCCCCTCCTCGCACCGAACGCGACGGCAAAGAGGGGCTTCAGCGCTATTTCGGAAGGGCTGTTGAGGCCCCCCCTGCTTGGAGCATAAATCTGAAATATAATTTTGATATAACATAGGGGCGATCTATGTATTTTTGTTTCTCGAATGCAGAACCGCTTTAGTTTCCCATTATTAAAATGTTCTTCTGCCTATGGCTTCTTTGTGCCAAGGAAAGAGGATTGAGATTCTTATCATGATGTCATCGACGTTTTTTGAAAGAAAAACCGATTGAAAAGAACGCTTTAATTCCTGAAATCGCACCGCGACAAGAGTTTCTCATGATCAGTGGTGTTGTGTGGAAACATAATTTGCTCATTCTAGTCCCGGAAGTAATGGACCTCTTTCAAAATAGATGCGATCCTATAGTAAGTTACAGCTCAAGAAGGTAAGGCGAGGGAAAGAATGGCTGTGGAGGGAAAAGCAGACAGAACGCTGGAGAGGAGAGGGGGGAACCTCCTCTTCTTTCCAGAGTTCCGTCTGCTTCTTCCTCCCCGGCCTTCTTTTCCCTCGCCCTACTATCTTGAGTTGCCACAGAGTATACAGGCGTAGTGTTACGTAAAACATTTTGGGAACCCCTTGGTTACTAAGTTTCGGTTTCGAGTTGCCAACTTCTCTTCACGTCATCCCGTCACGACCAAGTACGGGGCTTGCAATTTCGAATATTTAACTTTCCTTAAATTTATGATATAGTAAGCCTTGCCTACCAATAGAAATAGCATGCTGGGTAAGATTTTTCTTGGGCCCCCGATGTGCCAACATATATGTGCAGGTAAACAAAGGGCTACGATGGCAGATAGAAAAAAGAAGCATACTGGGTTCCATCGTCTCCTGGATGCCCTATGCTTCTTAAATTATCTGTGAGTAAGGTCCTTCTTCAACCTGGAATGGTAGCCAGGACGCAAGAAGGTCATGGGACGCGGCCGGCCATGGTCCTACTCATCGCTAAGCCTAGCCGGGTTCTTACGGCCGCTAGAGGTTCGTGTTTCAACGGGCGCTCTCCCGAAGATGAATGGGTGCAATGCAAGCGAGCGCTGACCTTATCTTCATGGCAGTACTAAGATGCACTACTTCGTGAATGAGGCAATCGAAGCGGAAATTATGCCGCTGCCCTTGATGGCTCAATAGGTCTTCGATGAATGGATGGATGGATAGTAATGGCTATATCCTTTTTAACGGACGGCAGCTTGCGCCACCTAGCCTAACATTTCTTCATCCCTTCATTTTTTTTTTGAATTTGTATAAATGTTGTTCTAACTCAACCCTCCCCCCCCCCCTTTTTAAAGTGTTCCCATTGGTTATTTTTATTTGTATTTTCACCCCTCCCTACATCTTTTTCACTAATCTTCCAATATCCTCTTAATTACAGCAATTCTGTCCCTGTAATGTAACGCGCGCAGTGTTGCGTGCAGGTAATTTTGGAACCAGTCTAAAGGTCATTGCACAACCTCTTTAACAACGTCGCACAAAAATGTTGACGCCGAGCAGAATAATGGCTGTTTCCAGCGCATTTCTTTGATACACGTATCAATAAATTTGTGAAAGTGTAATAAAACGTAGCTTTGGATTATACCCGTGCAATTGACTGCGTCTTGGCGAATATTAAAGACGCTATAAGTTATTATAATGAATAAACTCTTATTCACCCATCTTCAGCGAACTCTTTGTGTCTTCTGTGGATTCTTCTTTGCGCGTCTTGAATCAGATATCTTCTTATTTGAGGCCTTCTTGTACAGCGTTTCTGTTTTGCTAGTTTCCCTTTTACGCCGACCAAATAAGAAGGAAAACAATAACACAAAAACAAAAACAAACAATTGCTTGCCAACTGGAAGGAAGAAAGTGCAATCAAGCTCGCCGTCTTGACGAAGACTCTTTTCAATCTCTTGCGAAGAAAGATCGGCCCCTTAGAAAACCCGGCTAAAGCAAGGCTCAACAGAACCGTGAACACCGTGATACATCACTGTTCTATGTGGACTCGCCCACCTAGACATGTGTGTGCGCGTAGTAGACATAGAGAGTCATGAATGTGAGGGGATCTGGAAAATAAACGACGCAAAAACGCTGACTCGCGCAATATATAAATGTTAGAGATGCCGAGGCTCCAACGAGAAAAGCGATAGTCAATTTATAAAAAAAAGCAAAAAAAAAATATCAGCAAAAAAAAAAAAAAAACGAGTTTCGTTTCTGCTGTGATTGTGCTTTGTTCGAAACTCGTGGGCGTGCATTTGTTTTGTGTGTTTGGATTGTGTCGAAAGGTATTGTATGAGCTTCACTGCTCCGGGATTGAAATCAATTGATTGACGCCCTTCATCCCACCCTTCACCCCAATTCCACCCAATTCGGAAGAAGTTATTTTGCAACTGTTTTCCGTTTTGTGTCGGTAATGTAATCATACTGGGGAAATGAAATGACGTCAAAAAAGGTGCAAGAAGTCTTTTCGTATTTTGTTATCTCTTTGTTCCCAGTTAATTGTAGTCGTACTTCCTTTACACACTCTAAGAAAAAAAAGAAGGAAGAAGACCGCAGCGGCGCGTTTTCTTTCCTTCTACTGACGTGCCCCCAAGCGGACAGAAGAACAAGGGAGGAACGAGATGTTTTCCTCCTCCAGGCAGACGGAAGGAAACTTCCGCACTCCAGCCTCACTTCCGGTTTCGTTTTTCGGGCAAATCGCACGTGTTGTCTAGTAAATGATGTTAAGCTAATTAAGCGTCAGCGCCAGCGAAGGCCGCCTGTAATTCAGTATCCCAATTCAAACACTCGTATCACATTGATTTCATTGACATTTTTAGCACAAATATTGTAAAACGAGCAAAATAAGCCGTTAGAAACAGCAAAGTTCGGGAGTACGGTGCCATCAGTGCTGCGTACACAGGGCTAAGAAGTCCGATTTCGTCCTCTTCGCAACTCGCACAACTCGGGAGTTCAACTCAATTCCGCAACCTCTGCAATGACTTGGCGACGGCAACGATGTTACGGCGAATTTGCGACGCTGACACTCAGGTCTTTCTGCCGTGTGCCTCCGCGTCTTTAGTACTACTGTTGGTGGCACGAGGAAATAGAATACCACGGCAATCATCGGTTGGCACTCGGTAACAGGAAAGAGAACGTGTACATATATGCACGCACATGTGTAGATGCTCGAAGCGCAACGGCTGCGTGAGCAAGCGAAATATTTTTATCCTATGAATTAGGCGGTATTTAGCGCCACCTTACCTAGCCACTGGATCGTGCCACCTGGCGACGAGATATTTAACCTTCATTCAAGCTTCGGGATATTTCCTGGCTACAGTAGGTTTCTGTCAATGATCTCTTTTGAGAGCGGTTTTTGGTATCGCGAATGATTTACCACTTGTCAGTGACGCGCAGTGTTGAGAAAAGATATATGGCTCCAGGAATAGCAAAGGTGATACGTCAGATGCGCCAAGTGGACGGGTCTTGGTTGTATCCGTTTAACATCGCAGTGTTAACAGCTAAACTTCATTGACAGTGAGCGGACTGAGTAACTGCGTTTAAAACGTAAGTTTCCTTATCTGCGCGGGAAGCTGGCTTCGGCAATAAATACAGTGCCCGAAAAGCTCGTGGTATGTTTTTCTCTGCTACTCCTCTCGCCCCTGGAAGCAGTGGCTCGCTCGAATGGGAGCAAAGACTGCTTTTCTTGCGATAGCATGCTTGCAGGCACTGGGGAGGGGAAAAAAAGGGGGGGGAGGGGTGCTGACTAGCTTGAGGCATTTCCCTATCCTAAACCAATGTCCAGTATGTTCGATTGAATCACGGTAGCGTTTTGTGTAAAGACAGACGATAAACGCAGCGTCCTCGTTAACCCTCGTTGAGCTCTACTCGCTCGATTGCGGTCGCCACAAATAAGATGAAGACGACGGAAAAACTTTGCTTGCCGGCTTTCAGGGACAAACGTTTCCTCCCTTCCAAAGGAAGATGAGTTACAGGATCGTTTATCCCTTTATAGAGGAATGTATTCACCCTTTCTTTCTAAGAGTGCAGACACACTCGCGCCTCAAACCACGCCACTGATGTTGTTCTGATGTGGACAAGGCGCACGCGGAGGCGCTTCACACGCACTGATGCCCCCCCGCGGTGTAGGCAAAAACGCGCTTGTTAGTAAACAGCGCGTTGGCCTCAAAAGAGTTGAGGTTATTTCTTGGGACGCTATATTTCGCTTCAGCTAAGAAACAGACGCAGACGTGACGCCTCGAAGTCACGTCTGCGTCTTAGAGAGGCAATGGGACCAAACGAGCAACGTCAAAAGGGCGAGTCACTTGACCTTTTTTGTTTCTTTTTATGATCGGTTCATCGATGATATAACACGCACAGAAACATGACAAGCACAATGATTGTGTGCTTTTTGACGTTGTCTGTTTGGTTCCATCAACTCGTGGCGTATAGGTTTCGCCTTAATGCGGTTCTATA